ATTTAAGTGGCCGGGGTGGAGGTATAGCAACCATCCATACAAAAGCTTTAGGTGTAAGCCAGAAAGTAGACAACAAATTCTCTTCTTTTGAAATTCTTTTTCTTAATATAAGGGATCGAGGAACAAATAAGAATTCCTTTTCACTAACTACAATCTATAGGCCGCCAGGGCCGTATTCTCAGTTCTTACAGGAATTTTCTGACTTTCTATCAAGTTTAATAACGTTTTCAAATAAAGTAATAATTGTTGGAGATTTTATTATCCACTTTGATAAACCACAAGATCCACAAGGCATTTATATCTATCTCAGACTCTGTAGGTTTCACTCAAAATATAAAGGGGCCCACTCATTATTGCAGCCACACTTTAGACTTAATTCTGACCTTTGGTGTAAACATAGAGTGTGTATACATGCACTCAATAATCCGAACATAATCAGATTTCTGCAGTTATCATATTATTCAAATGATCGTGTAAGCACCATACTCTGATCTAGAAGTCCGATTAAGAAATCTGATAAAGAGAGCTGGATTTTAGCTCAGTAAACAGATTTCTTAGTGCATGTAAACTCATGCTCTGATTTCTATCGGATTTCTCAGTCTGTGCTTGCACGAGAACAGACGGTGGATGTCACAAGATGGCAGCAAAATACTGTTTGAGTGGTACTGAAACCTGAATATAAAGGATTTCTATATTCTTCATCTTCATCTAGAGGATGTAAGTTCATATTTTCAGGTGAAGTGGTGCGATGTTAAAAAAAATATGCGATGTGAAGTTTGAGTTTTACATTATGTTTACGTCACGTCTTCTTCTGTGAGTCTGTTGGCTGGTTGCAAAGCAGAAATCCGATTATTGCTTGACTCATGTAGACCCGGAGTTTCTCATTATCTGATTCCTCAAGTGCATGTAAACATGTTAATCAGATTACTGACAAAATCTGATTTTCTGCAGTTATCGGATTATTAAGTGCATGTATACACATTCATAGAGCATTTAGCCATTCTCCCCCAGAGCACAGCAGTCTCAGATTATTACCTAATCTCATATGAAATTCGCTTTAGCCGTAATGTTCGTTCATCTCCATGCTATCGTGTTAAGCAGACTATAACTTCTCCCACTGCTAGTAGCTTTATCAGAAACCTCCCACAATTATCAGCTTTTATCAGCTGTCCATCTAATCCTACCGAATTAGTTACTATGACCAAGTGCTTAGAGGATACTTTTTGATCTACTTTAGATAATGTGGCTCCATTAAAAAGTAAAATAATAAGGCAGAAAAAGCTTGCCCTGTGGTACAAAGCAAGCTTTAAAACAGACCGTCAGACATCTAGAGCGAAAATGGCGCCTGACTAAACTAGAAGTATTCCAGTCTACCTGGGGGGAGAGCCTTATAGACTATAGAAGAGCACTTACTGCAGCACGCTCAACCTATCTCTTCTCTCTCATTGAAAATAATAAAAATAATCCTAGATTATTTTTAGCACAATTTCCAAATCAACTAAGAACCAAACAGTTACTGAACCCCATATTCCATTAGCTTATAGCAGCAATGATTTCATGAATTTCTTTAGTGATAAAATTGAAAAAATTAGGCAGAAAATTGAGAATGCACAGTTAAACTCTACAAAATTGCTGCCTTATAATGCCAATCTAGATCTTGAGAATATTGTAACTATTGCAGAGAGGCTGGAATCATTTACCTTACTTCAACAAAATGAACTAGTTAAAATGATTTCCTTTGCGAAACCTTGTACTTGTATATTAGTTTTGATTCCTACATGTTTACTTAAAGAAATTTAGCCAGAAATAACCAAGCCTGTCAATAATAAACTCCTCTCTCAGCCTTGGCTATATCCTAAAAACTCTTAAACTAGCAGTAATTAGACCTCTGATTAAGAAAGCTAACCTTGATCCCTGTGAACTATCAAATTATAGACCTATCTCGAATCTTCCCTTTACATCAAAGATCTTGGAAGAAGTTGTGGCAAAACAATTAAGTACCTATTTGCCTAGAAATTATATACATGAAAAAATTCAGTCTTGTTTTAGGTCACATTATAGTACAGAGACAGCAAGAGTGAAAATTGTAAACAATCTTTTATTATTCTCTGACCAAGGAAATGTATCTTTGCTAGTCCTTCTTGATCTTAGTGCGGCATTTGACACGATAGACCACTCTATCTTACTAGATAGACTAGAAAACCTTGTAGGGGTAACAGGAATAGCTCTTTTCTGGTTCAGACTGATCACTATCAGTTTGCAAATGTAAACAGTAAATCATCTGTTCTTGCTAAAGTATGATGTTCCACAAAGCTCTGTTTTAGGACCTATATTATTCACATTATATATGCTACCACTGGGTACTATTATCAATAAGCACAGCATCAATTTCCACTGCTATGCTGATCACACACAGTTATATATATATCAAGCAAACCAGATGATAAATTTCAACTTCAGCAAGATTGATGACTGTATAAAAGACATAAAAGACTGGATGTTGAGTAACTTTCTTCTACTTAACTCCTTAACTTCTGCTTCTTTGTCCAAAAGCTGCTAGAAACAATTTTAACACCTAAACTTAATAGTTTCTCAGTTGCGTCAGGCACATCTGTAAAAAATCTTGGTGTCATGATAGATCCCGATCTGTCCTTCGATGCAATAAAACAAATATTACTAGAATAGCCTTCCTACATCTCCGCAATATTGCTAAATTAAGAAATGCATTGTCACTACAGGATGCAGAAAAGCTAGTTCATGCATTTATTACCTCAAGGCTAGATTAGTGTAATGCCCTGCTGTCTGGATGTTCCCGCAAAAGCCTTAACAAGCTTCAGATAGTCCAGAACGCTGCAGCCAGTCCTCACAAAAAAAAGATGGGTTATAAAATTAAATATAAATAAATAAACTTTGACTTGACTAACTTTGACATGAGAATAATTCTTTGACATCAGAATAAAGGTTTGTTTACATTTATAACTAATTTGAGTCACTTACCTAAATAGGTGTGAACCATCATGTTAGAGGTGGGATCTGAGCAAAAATAAAATGCAAAATAATGCACTTGCATACCAAAGGGGTAAGTCAAAGGAAAATAAGTGGGGAACAAAATCTGATAAAGTTTTTATCTTTGAGTGATATGAAACAATCAAGCTCTACTTGCTTTAAATCTGAAAAGAAGGGTGTTTCCTTCCATCCTTCCACTGTGAAAAGATAAGTCAGCGTTGTGTTTCAGTGGTCTGAAAGCAGGGATGCTGCAAGGCCCTAACTATTATTTAGCCCTGTTAAGGGATATATATTGTGATTTCTGGGAAACAAACAGATGCAGAAACATAGTGCTTGCAGACAAATGTTTTAGGATTTATTGAACCAGCAGCAGTACAGCACCACCTCCCGGCACTAACTGAAACCACTCGGGAAGCAGGCAGGTCACCAACAGCCACACGTCTCCAGTACATGGTAGACAAGAACATTGTCAAAAAACCTCACCGCCCACTACAAAATGACACAACCAACCCTGCTGCACACATAATGTCCACACAGTCACATCTATTTACAAATTAAAGTCTCTCTTACTGCACTTGCAGCGCTTTCCCAGGAGACTCCATGCATCTACAGCTGAATGAACCAATAGCAGAATGCTACACAGCCCTCTATTCAAAGGTCCAAATCTTCTTGGGGATCTACAAAAGAGGCCAGCCAGAGTCTGACCACTGTTCCTGTGAACTGTTGTCCCTACCTGTCATTGGGATCTAGTCCTAGTGAACACATATATATCATAAATTGTCTTTTTTTAGAATGATTTAAGTTGTTATTATATTATGCAATTACATTAGCATACATTTCCATATTCAGAAGTACATTATTTCAACTGTATTATAATTTTAGTGCTTCAGTACGTTTGGTTCAGCTGAATAATATCCAGTATATATATATATATATATATATATATATATATATATATATATATATATATATATATACAGATTAATAATCAGAGGTGAATGGTTCTCAGACACACACACACACACACACACCACACACTATATAGACAAAAGTATTGCAACACTTACACATCGCATATACAGGAGCTTTTATGACATCCCATTCTAAATCCATAGGCATTAATATGGAGTTTGTCCCCCCTTTGCAGCTATAACTGTTTTCACTCTTCTGGGAAGCTTTCTACAAGATTCTGGAATGTGTCTGTTGGAATTTTTGCCCATTTATCCAGAACAGCATTTGTAAGGTCAGACACTGGCGTTGAACGAGAGGGCCTGGCTCGTAATCTCCATTCTAGTTCATCCCAAAGGTTGGTGGATCGATGGGGTTGAGGTCAGGGCTCTGTGTGGGCCAGTCAAGTCCTTCCACACCAAATTACCCAACCATGCCTTTATGGACCTTGCTTTATGCGCTGACGTGGTGGTGGTTTGTTGTCCTGCTGCAACAGAAAAGGGCCTTTCTCAAACTGTTCCCACAAAGTTTAAAAACTCCAGCAGCACTGCTGTATCTGTTCCACTCAGACCAGCGCAACACACACTAACAAACCACCACCACGTCAGTGTTACTGCAGTGCTGAGAATGATCCACCACCCAAATAGTACCTGCTCTGTGAGGGTCCATGGGGGTCCTGACCACAGAAGAATAGGTTAAAAGGGGGCTAACAAAGTATGCAGAGAAACAGATGGACAGTCTGTAATTGTAGAACAAAGTGCACCTATATAGTAAGTGGAGCTGATAAAATGGACAATGAGCGTAGAAACAAGGAGGTGGTCATACTGATCGGTGTACACATCTACACACACACACACATATATATATATATATATATATATATACACACATTTGTGTGCATGTGTATCAACCATTCACTTCTGAAGTTTGTCCCTAGTCCCCCTTACACAAACACACATGCTCACCAGCTTTAGGAAATTCATGGATACATTTAAAACCTGAGTGTTATCATCTCTGTGATTCTGTTTCTGTTCTGGCTTAAATAGGAGACACCTATGAATTTTGTAGACCCAAAGGAATTCAATATCCCAGGTGTGGTGAGGAAGAATCGTTACAAAACCATCCTGCCAAGTGAGTATTTTATTTATAAGAAGTAAAAGCTTGATTCAAGAATATACATTTGTCGGCATTTTAAAATGTAATATGTATAATTATTAATAAATGAATGATATTTGATTAAAATTATTCCAAAAATTTCAGCTTGATTATGAATAAAGAAAAAAAACTGTGCACTTTATTTAATATATTAGCAAGTTTGAAGACTTTCTCGTCTTTCAGTAGAAAGTCACTCTTAACCTTTATAACCCAAGTAGACTCTCAGATAAGCCACTGAAGCAAGATGTGTTTTGCTTGCTAAGTGTTTAGAAGGTAAAAATAAACATCTGTTTGGTAAAGGATTTAAATGATATTGAGACTAATAAAGTATGTTAGATTCATTCAGTTGTCTCAGTGAATCAGTGCCTTTATTTAAGGCTGCTGATTTCCAGATTAGGTGTACTCAGTGTATACAGCAGTGGGTTATGGCAAAGCCTCATCTATCAGGGATGGCTAGAGATGTAGATGTATTACATTTAACTGTTTTTAGGCATAAGTAAACATTTACCAAATGCATGTGAATCTCTGTATTACTGCTTTGTTTTTTGATCACTGTGTGGATGTGATTTGCTGGAAAAATGGTACACTTTACTTAAGAGTAGTATTCATAAGGCAACATGACACCTACAGTACCTCCAGTGTTACTAGAACAGTTAAAGATAAGCAAAAGCTATGATTATCAGATTATTATTTCACATAAGACACGTCAGTGAGTAAAATAATTCATAGAAAAAAAGATTTTCTCAAAAGTGTGTCCCAATTACTGGCATCTCTGCCTTTAATACATTGTGCCATGCCTTTGCCAAAATAGCAGTACTGTGTCTTCTCCTAAAATGCTGGATAAACACAGACTCTAGAGTCTTTGCTCCTCACGTGTGGAATCTCCTGTTTAGCTCACCCTGTGTTTTCAACTTTAGTTTAGGCAGGGCACTACAAATGCCTGTGGTCAGTTAACAATTTTTGCATGGATTTATACTGGAGTTATACTTTAGCCTACTTGAATAAATCAGAACCAAGCTGAATTTTAATGTAAAATCAAATATATAGCAATTTCTTGAAATTGGTAGGGCTGGAGTAGAAGTCAGGGGGTGTCCTCCTTGGGTTCTGTGTGTAGCTTTTGCAAGGGAGATCTCAGTCCACTAGAGACAGTTGTAGCGCGAGAGAGAAAAATAAAACATGTTAAAAAAATAAAAAAATAAAAGCATGTTAACGTTATTTCTGGTGCGGAGTTCAACTCATCTGACTTAGCCCAGAGTGGTGTTTTTATGCTGACCGTAGGCAGCCAGGTGAGTGTGTGCAGGGGCACAATTGTGCAGTGTCTGTGCAGTTCTGTGCAGGTTTCCTGGCTCCACCTGTGAGCCATGCTGCTCCTGCTGTCCAAAACAGAAGTGCTGAATGTAGCCTGTTCTCATTTTGCATCTTGGACAGAGCTTTGCTGTCTTGGATTCTTAGGTATTTAGCATTTTAGCTGGTGAGGTTCCCAACCCCCACCACAATATATAGTCACAATACCGTAGCACTTTAGTGAACGAAGAAATAAGGGACAGACTATGATTTCTGCTACAAAAAGTGCTTTTTGCTAGCACCCACAGAGAAGGCACATGAAAAGCAGACCGTTTAGCAGGGAAGGTACCCTTTAGTCATAGCACTCCTCTCTGTGGTAGACCCTTAACCCACACTAACTAAACCCACACCCCGACACAGTTACACACAAGCAGCACATAGAGACATCCCCAACCAACAAACAATAACTTAAACAACATTAAAAAAAAGGACATTTAAAGTCCCTTTTGATGGAGGGGGGGGAAATGCACATGGCGCAGATTTGCATACCACGCCTCCAGAGCCCGTTCTGCAAACTGAAGCGAGTAGTAGCTGGTAGCTAACTCATGTGCACTGGAAGCACACTGCCTTGAATCCGTCTCTGGTGACTGACCTAAACTGGACGTCGGTTGCCTTCCAGCCAACTAATCTTTCTCTTTCAGTGTGTGAGCATGGCTGGTCATATTAGGGATATTGGCGAGACCGCTTCGACGAGTGCAATGAGCCATCTGCCACCAACGCAGCCCACTCAATCCAAGTTTCATAGCCATCAGCAATTCTCCTGGCCGGCTTCCATTTCCCTGCTAGCTCAGGTTTAAGGCATTGTCTCGTCCCCTGGAAAAACTTTAGGAAAGTGTGACAAAGCAGTGTGAGGTTATCTTCAGGACTCTAGAATTTTCAGATTGTTGATAATCAGTACACTGTCAAAAAGAACACTAAAAATGAAAGTGAAATGATGAAATAAATAGTTTATAGTGTTAATTAGTTAAACAGGCAACTTCAAAATCACAGCCAAGTTGAAGATGAAAATTGATCTTCTACACATCAACATCCTAAGGATCCGCGAACTAAGGACACTTTTAATCAAGAGAGTACGTCTGCTACACACTTACTATCTATCTACTACTCTGGTCATGAACAACAAACAAGAAATGGAGTGGCTTTCATTGTGAATAAGGATATACTGCTGTGAATGATTAATGCCAATCTTATTTTGTGCACAATTCAACTTTACAGTCAGAAGAAGAAAGTGAAAAGTTTTATGATAAAGCTCTGGCTAAAACTGACAAGACCTGCAAACAGGATTTACTTCTGGTAATGGGAGACAGGAATGCAAAGGTTGGAAATGAGAAGGAGGGGAATACAGTTGAATAACACAACATTGGAAACAGAAATTGTGAGATCCATGACTTTGTGAGTTTGCCTGTTTAACCTGTACACTGAACATGTAATAAGAGAAGTAGGACTGGAAGAAGATGATCAAGGATTCAAGATTGGTGGAAGAATACTCAACAGCCTTAATCAGATAACATGACCCTCAAAGAAGAAAATCAGGAACATGTCAAGGCTCTCATAAGGGAAGCTGAAAAACAGAGTGAAAAGATAGGACCGCAGCTCAATATGAAGACAACAAAAGTTACAGGAAAGATCACTAACTTCAAGATGAAGACATAGAAGTGGTGGACAGCTTTTGCCTTCTTGGATCAATTAACAACAGAGGATCCAGCAGTTAAAGAATACAACACAAATTGGCACTCTGCAGAACAAGGCAGAATTTTTTTTTAAAACATCTTCAAAGGGAATGCTGTGTCTCTACAAGAAATTGTACAGAATTGTCCAGGCTGTTGTCTTCTCTGGTTCTTTATGGATTGGGAAGGCTAGACGAAATTTAGGACAGGAAAAATATTGATCCCTTTGAACTTCTTGGTATCGGTGAAGACTTGGTGAAGAGTACCTTAGACAGCAAACAAAACAAGCACATGGACCTTTGACCAAATCAGACCTCACCTCTCTCTTCAATCCTGGAAAACCATCTTAAGAATCTGAAGAAGAAGTTTATTTATTGAATAAACAGTTATGCTTGGAACAATTGAAGGTAAAAGAGAAAAAGGACAACCAGCAGCAAGATAGATGGATTCAAACAGTGGGATCATTAACAAGCTATTAAGAAGCATAACCAAACGGAAGGCAGGATGTTCTGGAGGAACACAATCCAGATTTTCTTCACTGCTGTTTGCAGACTATCCATAGTGGTTGGACACATTTCCCGATGTAACTTCACAAATGTCTTTTAAATCGTGCCTGAATTTCACTTAATGAACTTACAGCATCTTGTGTATTTTTCTTCCTTCAAGCCAATACAAAGGATAAACGTCTGGGAAGTGAGGAGGCCAATTGCTGGAGTTTTGGGAGAGGAATGTTGTCCCACTTTGTCTGATGTAGGATTCTAGCTGCTAAACAGTCCTGGGTCTTCTTTGCCGGATTTTTCGTTTCATGATACGCCAAATGTTTTCTGTTGGTGAAAGGTCTGGACTGTAGGCCGGCCAATTCAGCACCCGGACTCTTCTTCTGCAAATCCATGCTGCTGTGATGGATGCAGTATGTGGTTTAGCATTGTCTTGCATTGAAATATGCAAGGCCTTCCCTGAAAGATAGGAGCATATGTTGTTCTAAAACCTCTATATACTGTTCAGTATTGATAGTTCCTTTCCAGATGTGTAAGCTGCCCACACCACAGGCACTAATGCAACTCCATACCATCAGACATGCAGACTTTTGAACTGTGTGCTGATAACAAGCTGGATGGTCCACAGGACATGGCGTCCATGGTTTTCAAAAAACAATTTCAAATTTTGATTTATCTGACCACAGAACAGTTTTCCATTTTGCCTCAGTCCATTTTAAATGAGCTTTGGCCCAGAGAAGACGGCGGCGTTTCTGGATCATGTTGACATATGGCTTCTTCTTTGCATAATACAACTTTAACTTGCATTTGTGGATTGCACAGCGAACTGTGTTCACAGACAGTGATTTCTAGAACTGTTCCTGAGCCCATGAAGTGATTTCCAGTACAGAATCAGGCCTGTTTTTAATGCAGTGCCACCTGAGGGCCCAAAGATCTTGAGCATACAAATTTGACCTTCGTCCTTGTCCCTTGCGAGACTCTGCCTGTCTAAAATGCTATTTTTATACCCAGTCATGAGTTAGTTGCAAATTGCTCCTCCAGCTGTTTTTTATTAGTACCACTTACTTTTCCAGCCTTTTGTTGCCCCTGTCCCAACTTTTTTGAGATGCGTTGCTGCATTCAAGCTCTAAATGAGTTAATGTTTTTGATGAAATGGTAAAATGTCTCTGATATGTGTTCTGTGTTCTATAGTGAATAAAATATGGGGCCATGTGATTTGCAAGTCATTGCATTAACATTAATTGACATTTTACACAGCTGATTACATCAACAACTTTTTTGGAATTGGAGTTGTGTGTGTATGTATATATATATATATATATATATATATATACATATATATATATATATATATATATATATACAACTGTCATTTTGGGACATTTCATTTGGTCCATTCCACTTTAAAAGGAACCCTGGCAGATCCCTCAAGAGATGTCACAGCTACTAGAGAAATGAGTGACACAAAAAAACTTCTTTGACACATAAGATCTCAACCAGTTCAGTACAGTGCCAGAGAGGCCCACCCATGTCAGTCTATTAATTGATATATTGTCGTCAACAGTATCAAATGCTGCACTCAAATCTAAAAGGAGAAGAATCAAATCCCTTTCATTTTTTCTGAACCTGGGATTACACTTGTTTTTTTTTTTCTTTGATGCAAAACATGCTGTAAAAAACATTCTGTACTGCTGATTGAAAAAAAAACTACATCTTATCAGGAAATAAATATGTTTCTCAAATCTGTGTGTGCCACATTTGTTGGCCCCCCTATATTTAATACTTTGTGCAGCCTCCCTTCACACAAAGATAAGAGCTCTGAACGTTCTCTTATAATGCTTAATGAGACTGGAAAATGCATGACAAGAGATCTGAGATCATTCTTCCATGCAGAACCTTTCCAGATCCTTCAGATAACAAAGCTCACACTGTGGACTCTCCTCTTCAGCTCCTCAGGTTTCCTTTAGGGTTAGGGTCAGGGGACTAGGATGGCCAAGGCAAAACCTTAAAAAAACTGCGCCCAGTTTAAGCATCCTGACTGAGGCAGTCAGCTTTTTATATTATTTTTGCTAGTATTTGATAGAGTCTGTGATACCATGTATGCGAATAAATTGTCCAGGGCTTTTGGAAGAAAAACAACCCCACAGTGGGGATGAGGTACTTTTCTGCATGGGTTTTCTGCTTGGTGTTCACGCAAACTGTAGGTGCATAAGTCTGTTTGTCCTTCACAGCAGAGGCTTTCTTCTGGCATATACCTCAATTAGATTTCACTCTTAAGAACTTCTAGGGGTGCCAACAATTGTGGAACACATAGATTCAAGAAACATATTTCTTTCATGACAAGACTTTTCAGTTCCACCACTCTGACATTCTCACATATTCCTCAATGATAATAAACTAGCCTACTTTCTTCAAGTCTGATAAATGAGACACTGGTTACCCAAACTATGCTAATAAAGGTTATAAAGTATTTAGTTGCAGTAATAGTGGAAGTAAGTCTTTATTGTATCTTCTTTGGGCACTTTGGCTGCAGCATAACTAAACAGGAACACAAAGTGTCATTGATGCAAAACACAGTGTTTGATGAAGAAAAGATTTTTAAATGCAAACATACATGGTCCAAACACAGGACATCCTACTGGTCTGGACAAACACAGAAGTTACTAAAGTGCCAGTAGCTCCCCCTTGTGAACAATCAGTGAGTGAGTATGTGAGTGAATCACAAACCGGGTCCAGGAGGTGCTTCGCACACAACATACACTGTTTTACAAGGAAGAATGTCTTTAAACAGTGTTATTTTGGTTAAATTGGAACCTACATGAAACTACAGTTTGTGTCTTCCAAAACCTGATTTTTTTTAAACAGAACAAATAAGGTACTACTTAAATGTAACTTTACATAACCTGTCATGTCAATGTTTCAGATACACACAGTAGAGTTTGCCTTCAATCAACAGAGGATGACTTTCTCAGCACTTACATCAATGCCAACTACTTGAAGGTGAGTTTATTAGAATTCTAAGCCAATTTGTTTAGTTTTACTGTAGTGTGTTTGTACAATGTTAATGGTAAAGTTTTGAACACATTGTGAAAAGATAGAGAATATACATTAAATGAGTGAAGAGGTCACTGTCCTTCATAAGACAGGGAATAGCTTTAACAGATTCACACCTGAAAATATCCATCTCATTATTGCCTTATTAGAGCAACAGTGGTGAAGCTGTTCATCACTGAAATTGTGATGAACCTGTCTAGGAGAGGACACAAGTGTATTTTGACCCCCACACACAGTGAGGAGGGTCATTGGAGGGGCAAAATGTTCTTCAACAATCAAGAATTGGATACATTATGGAGTTGTTTGAGGTCACCAAGTTTCCATAAATACAATTATATGCAAACTTTTTACCACCACAAAAACATATTTTTATTTTTATTTTTATTTTTTTCACACAATCTGACTGGCTCTGTCAGGAGCCTAGGAAACAGCCACGGTTAGATCTTCCAAAAGAAAAATTGTCCAAATTCACACAAAAACTATTTTCTCTTATCTGGAGAGATAATGTTTGTGAAACAGGTTTTAGATCCCTTTCTTTATGTTTTCCCACCTCATCCAGTGAATGTGTTTTAGGTAATATGGGTTCTCAGTTTAGAAATGGAAATGTATGTCCTTAAGCAACACTTCTGTAAATTCCCTCCATTGTATGCACAAAGAATAGCAACACCATTGCTTTTCTTTAAGGGCTTGAATCACCATGTTTTCTTGACCTTTTTTTAGCCATGTGGCAAAAAAATCCTTCTATTCATTAAAGAACATAAATCATCACTTATCTGTCATAACAACATTTAAAATATACTTATATTAAAATTTTCCATGAAAAATCTCATGTCTTAGTTAAGACCTGTTCGAACTGGATTAGTTTTACCTGGGAAGGTGCTGTAATTTGAGTGATTACCGAAAAGATTCAAAATATTAATCCAGTACGAGTCTGCAATGTCAATAGATTTTACAAGTCAGCTAACTAATAATTCTGGAGCAATTACCTTCTATAATTTGTATATTATGTATACTTGAAATGAGATGTAAAGTCTTCTCACTTATCCAATGTTGCTGGACATATTTGCCATTTAGCCATTCAACGTGTTGTTATTGTTCGTAAGTGTGGCATCTGTTGCCAAATGCTGAGGTAAATGTCAGCATGTTTCGATCCAGGCTATTTGGGGTAATTTGGGTAAATTGCACGGATACTTTATCCTGTACAAATCAACTTGTCAAATCATATACAAATCACATTACCAGACCTCCTCTGGTAAAACTAATCCAGCTTGAATAGGGCTTTAGTAGAGGGTTGTCAACATACAAATAATTTGTTTGCTTTCGATGTTTAGCTCCCACACACTGCTTAAGAAAAGTAAAAAAGTTCTGAGTGGTGATGTTTCCCGCATTTCTTAGAAGTCTATCTTGAGTAGCAGACTCACTCCAAGTCGCTGCTCAAGGTTTTAGGTCTCATCTGCTCCGACATGACAGTGTTCACTATATGTTTGATCTCCACATCTGCCAAGTGCATCTTCTTGTGCTTTGCGTGCATTGTAGGGCCTGTTTGGCTTTGTCATGTTTCTGTGTTCCTGCCTGGCTGCATAACTGTCCACATTGTGCCTTTTTCACATCTTTGCCTGTTTCATCTCTTTATATTAGAGGTCGATTTAGGAAGGTGTGGACATTCAGAAAGGCTGAGCTCTCTTTCATTTAGAACTATAGGACCATCATACAGTTGTATGCAACTATTTGGACATCCATGGGCAAATTTCATATTTTGAATATATAAACTAAAATAATCTGTGCATAATATTCAGTGTCCAGTAAACTGGATATTTTAGCTCAGGTACATGAGAGAATTCTTGAAAAATGACAAGATCTTTCTGTGTTTACAGTATGTACGGTTGCATGAAATAATTTCTGAACTCTTGAAACTACCTGGACTTGTCCAGGAAAGTCTCCTGATATACTGTATATGGCCATTTTGAATTTGATGCCAACAACACATTCCAAAAAAGTTGGGATGGAGGATGTTTACCACTGTGTTTCATCACCTCTTCTTTTAAGAACACTCTGTAAGCATGTGGGAACTGAGGAGACTGACTTCTGCAGTTTTGAAAGTAAAATGTTTTCCCATTCTTTACTGATACAGGATTTCAGCTGCTCAACAGCTCGGGGTCTGCTTTGTCATATTTTTCAATTTATAATGCGCCAAATGTTTTCAGTGAGTGACAGGTCTGGACTGCAGGCAGGCCAGTTTAGCACCCAGACTCTTTGAATACGGAGCAATGCTGTTGTTACATGTGCAGAATGTGGTTTGACATTGTCTTGCTGAAATAAGCAGGACCTTCCCTGAAAAAGATGTCATAACAAAGTGGAAGCGACTGGAAATGACAGCAACTCAGCCACAAAGTGGTAGGCCATGTAAAATGACAGAGCGGGGTCAGCGGATGCTGAGGCGCATAATGCGCAGAGGTCGCCAACTTTCTGCAGAGTCAATCGCTACAGAGCTCCAAACTTCATGTGGCCTTCAGATTAGCTCAAGAACAGTGCGTAGAGATCTTTATGGAATGGGTTTCCATGGCCAAGCAGCTGCATCCAAGCATTACATCACCAAGTGCAATGCAAAGCGTTGAATGCAGTGGTGTAAAGCACGCCGCCATAGAGCAGTGGAGACGTGTTCTCTTGAGTGACGAATCACGCTTCTCCGTCTGGCAATCCTATGGACGAGTCTGGGTTTGGCGGTTGCCAGGAGAACGGTACTTGTCTGACTGCATTGTGCCAAGTGTAAATTTAGAGTGGAGGGGGGGTTATGGTGTGGGGTTGTTTTTCAGGAGTTGGGCTCGGCCCCTTAGTTCCAGTGAAAGGAACTCTTGATGCTTCAGCATACCAAGAGATTTTGGACAATTTCATGCTCCCAACTTTGTGGGAACAGTTTGGGGATGGCCCCTTCCTGTTCCAACATGACTGTGCACCAGTGCACAAAGCAAGGTCCATAAAGACATGGATGAGCAAGTTTGGTGTGAAAGAACTTGACTGGCCTGCACAGAGTCCTGACCTCAGCCCAATAGAACACCTTTGGGATGAATTAGAGCGGAGACTGCGAGCCAGGCCTTCTTGTCCAACATCAGTGTCTGACCTCACAAATGCGCTTCCGGAAGAATGGTCAAAATTTCCCATAAACACACTCCTAAACCTTGTGGAAAGCCTTCCCAGAAGAGCTGAAGCTGTTATAGCTGCAAAAGGTGGGCCGACATCATATTAAACCCTATGGATTAAGAATGGGATGTCACTCAAATTCATATGCGTGTGAAGGCAGACAAGTGAATACTTTTGGCAATATAGTGTATCATTCAGCATTAATAGTGCCTTCACAGATGTGTAAGTTACCCATGCCATGTGCACAAATGCACCTCCGTACTATCATGAATGCTGGCTTTTGAACTGTGCGCTGATAACAAGCTGAGTGGTCTTTAGCCCGGAGGACACAGTATCCAAAAAAGAATTTCAAATTTTGATTTGTCGGACCACAGGACAATTTTCCACTTCCCCTCAGTCCATTTTAAATGGGCTTGGGCTCGGAGAAGGTGACAGCATTTCTGGATTCTGTATGGTTTTTTCTTTGCGTTTTAGAGTTTTGACTTGCTTTTATGGATGCAGTGGTGAACAGTGTTCACCAACAGTTGTTTTCAGAAGTGTTTCTGAGCCCATACAGTGATTTCCACTAGAGAATCATGTCTGTTTTTAATGCAGTGCTGCCTGAGGGCCCAAAGATCACAGCCAGCAAATACTGGTTTTTGGCCTTGTCCCTTGCATACAGAGATTTCTCCAGATTCTCTGAATCTTTTCATGGTGTAATGGACGTAGATGATGAAAAGCAAAAGTTCTTTGCTATTGTACATTGAGAAACGTTATTCCTGAATTGTTGTAGTCTTTCACAGAGTGGTGAACCCCCATCTTTACTTTTGAAAGACTCAGCCTCTCTGGGATGCTTTTTTATACCCAGTCATGTTACTGATCTGTTGCCAATCAACCACCAGGTGTTTTTTTTTGTTTAGCATTGCACAACTTTACCAGCCTTTACTTGCCCCCGTCAAACCTTTTTTGGTACACATTGTTGGCATCAAATTCAAAATGGGCACATATTTTTCAAAAAACAATAAAATTTCTCAGTTTCAACATTTATGTTGTTTTTGTCGTCATTGCATTTTGTTTTTATTTATATTTTGCACAGCGTCCCAACTTTTTTGGAAATGGGGTTGTAATTTTCGTAATAATTATTAATTTTATAAATAAAATATAATAACAAATAATGAGCTTTTTAACTTAAAAAATATACTCTGATTTATATTAATATATTTAAAATGATCAAATAGTTAAAACACTCGAGATTATTGATAAGTTAAAAAACATTACATAAGCTACGTTACGTATTACATAGATTTATGTGTAATATTACCTATATTACACACCAGTGTCTTAGACAGAAATAACATTTCGGAATGTTCAGTTCGCAACAATATGTTATTTTTTCCAGGTTTTGCAAGATTTCATGTGCCTAATTCCCACGTCTAGTATGCTGGACATTTAAATCCAATGAATAATTACAATATATTATCCCCAAATTCATAGAACATCATCTACTGTCACACCTAAATACACATAAGATTTTATTTTCAACAAAACAAATTTTCAACAACATAAATCTATTATACTAAAGAAAGATTACTGGACAATAAAATTAATCAAAATGTGTGTATGTAGACATAAATATATACTGTTTCCTTTTTTCACAAGTGGGACCTTCTAGATGGATATACAAACAAAGCATTTTTTGACAATATTTTTTTTTCATATTTACAGTATAATAGTAAGCTGATAAACAATAAACATATTTTTTCTCTTTTTTTTCTTGCTTGCATTTACTGGTGCTGCCAACAATTCTAGAGGGCAGTGTGCTTTCACAA